ATTCACACACACACGACTTAGCATACGCAAGTGCTAAGTTGATGTTTGTGCATCTGTGATCTGTTCTATGCTCTGTGCTATGTTCTATGCATGTTCTAAGTGTGTGCTGTGCGTCATGGATGACACATGCTCACTGCGAGTGTTATGCGTCATGGGAACTGCGGGCAAGCCTGTAGTTGTCCTTCCTTTTCATAGAAGTATTCCTTTTATGTATGCATGTATGCTTGTAGGAAATGCTTGTCAACAGTCAATGCATGCCTGCCACAATTCACATCGTCATTTCACAAATCAATTTTTACTTTTGCTCAGACAGGCCAGGCTCCTTCGACACTTCACAAGTCAGTTTTACTTTTGCTCAGACAGGCCAGGCTACTTCAGCAAGCCTTGCATGTTATCTGTTCCACATTGAACACCTTTCAATTGGCAGCTCCTCACCCAGCTGCTTCTGCACCACTCTCTTCTTTAGTGTCAGAATGTGCTCTGGTGGTTGACAGCTCTAGTATGTTCTGCTTTGTTCATGCATTTTCTGCATGAACAACTGCTTCTTTACACAACCCCAGCAACAACAACAAGAGCAAGCCGAAGCCGTCCGCGCCATTCTTACTGACACTACCTGGATGGCATGTCCCCACAGGTCATCCCTTGGGCAGAAGCAAGAGCAGCATGGGCCTCTCCAAGGGCCCCTTCAAAATCCACAGCAGGTGCATGAGGAGGAGCACTTGCAACAGGCTTCCCAAGGGCATCAGCATCCACAGCAGCAAGGGGGCCAGGGAGGCCTTTGGCGGGGCCATGTTATTGGCACACCGCCTAGGGCCACCTTAGCTTCTCTTCTAAAGGCTTCACGATCCAGCGAGTGACAGCTCTCCAGCTCTCCGCGACACGCGCGGCGAGGCAAGCAGCCTGGCACCAGTGCGCCTGCTTTGCCGTCGCTCTTGCCTCAACCGCCTTGCCTGCGCTAGATCCTTCTCCCCAAGCCAATCACATGGTGCACCTGGACAATGACCTTCCGAGCAAGATCCAACAGGTGTGGAGGCTCCGGTGGGGAAAATAGGTGGAAGGAGACCTGGTGGTGCCCCCCCCCCAAAGGAGCGGGGGGCCATGGTATTGCTTGGGCTTGGCGTGTGTGCGTGGGTGACGTGCTGCTGATGTAGCCTGCTCTACTGTGAGGGCCTTGCTTCAGAGGGAGCATGTATTTTGGGCATGTCCACATGCCCGGGTGGGCGGACGTTAAGAACCTGCCTCTGAACACTCGCGTGCTCCCTGCATGAGTGGTTGCTCGTTCCCACTTAAATGTTTGGTGGGTTGCTTGTCTGCGTGCCTTGGACGCGATGCTTCGGTATTGCAACTCTCAAGGGGCTGAAAGATTTTGTTGCTTGCCAAGGGGGGTCGCAATCCCCCTTGGCCAATTCTCTGACGCCTGAACATTTGGTAATTGCCGGAGATCAAAATCTTGACTTTATTGAGAGTCAGGCGCCGCAACCTATGCCAAATTTGGGTGATTTACTGCCGGACACTTTCAAACCCTCTTCTGAGTTGGGGGGGTTGCTCATTTGAATCAGGAGTCTGGTTTGGCAACTTGGTGACACTTGGATGTGGCTCAGGAAGAGCTCTCTGCATCAAAAACGTGCATTCCTTCCATTTGGGCACACCAGTGCGTGTTTTGAGGTGGCAGGTGTTTCTTTGTTCATATTTTTGTAATTAAGGAGCATAAGGTGTGCCCCATACCTGCACTTCTCGGTCACCCCTGGTAATGGCCATTTTCTGAGGGACCCTGCTCAGGCCCAAACCGCTGTAGCGAGTGTTTGGGAAGCCTGCTGGTAATATTGCAAGTCGTTTTGGGCTGTCGGGAGGACCCCTGATGCTCGTCGGATTTTCATCGTACGGACAGGCACGCATAACCAGGGAGCTCTGGCCAAGCCCCGATAGGCCACCTCTGCACCCGCTGTTTGTCCTGGCCGATGCCTGGGGCTGCAGCATCAACATTGACGCCGTGGGCTGCCATGATGGGCGCCAGGGAGGAGCTGCTGGGCTCCGCAAAATGAATGGAGCTAATTCCTCTCAAGTTTTAGCTTGGCGGGCAATACACGAGCAAGGGAGCCCCATAATTTCCCAGTTTCTGAGCTTCCTTCCTTTGATTCTGGCTCTATTACATTCGTTTTTTATCATCAAAACATAAAAGTTGCCCCTTCACATCGGTGGCTGTCAATGGGATTTGAACGAAATTAGAAATCTGAAATCCGACCCCATCCCAGCAACCCGCTGAAGCATAAGAATTCATTATACATTGTAAAAAAGCAGTTCCCTAATGTCATCACTCCTCTCGACTGCTTTTTGAGTGACCCCAAAACAGCCCCCCGCCAACTCGCAGCTGGTGGCCACCTGTGCACTCAGGGCTCATCCTGGGGTCCACCTGCAAGCTTGGGGGGGTAGGTGGAGGGCTTGGGCACACAGGGGGCGAGTTTTGCTGGTTGAGCGCACAAACATGCAGGTGTCTGCTTTTGTCAAACATGCAGGTGTCTGCTCTGGTCTTGCGCACAGAATAGTTCACCGAGTGGGACCAGCTCAGCACTGAAAAATTGCTTTTTTTACAAGCTTGCAGGTGGTACGCTAAGAATTTTCAGAGGTGGCCTAGCTGGCAATAGGCAGGATATCACACAGGGACGTGGCGCCTAACTGAGAGGCTCTTCTCCTGGAACTTTAGACTTTGTGCATGCTCATTTTCTGTCTTGGTGCGCAGGAGCTGTGTCTTTCCATGTGGCCCCCTTGTTTCCTGTTTTTCACTCGCCTAAAGACTGATAGGCCTGCCTATCAGTCAGGCGCCACAACCCTGTGTGGTATCCTGCCTTTTGCCAGCCAGGTTACCTCTGCCCATTCTGAGAACACCTCCTGAAAGCTAGTAAAAAAAAGCAATTTTTCAGCGCTGAGCTGGTCATATTGGGTGAACCCTGCTGCGCGCTAGGTCTGCATGTTTGCGCGCTCAGCCAGCATAACTCACCCCCTGTGTGCCCTAACCCTCCAGCTGCACCCCCAAGCCTGCAGGTGGACCTCAGGATGGTTCCTGAGTGCACTGGTGGCCACCTGATGCGAGCTGGCAGGGGGCTGTCCTGGCGGTGCTCCAAAGCCAGTCGAGAGGAGTGATGACGACAGGGAACTGTTAATATTTAGTGAAATGTTGGCGCTTCAGCGGAGTGTTGGGACGGGGTCCCAACACTCCGCAGACTTCAAACGCTTGTACCATTCAAATTTCCGCTGCAACACATGCGATGTAGGAAATGTTCAATATATAATACTTTAAATAGCTTCATATAAACAGAAATGAGAAATTGTCACCGTTTGAAAAGTTCTGGTTATGCTATCCCTTGAAGAACAGATTGAAAACTGCATAGACCCCCTCGTATGTGTCCCGCCAAGCAAAAACTGGAGAGTTATAAGCTCTAGCAACTTTGCGGAGCCCAGCAGCTCCGCCCTGGCGCCCATCATGGCAGCCCGCGGTGTCAATGTTGATGATAACAACCCCAGGCATCGGCCAGGACAGACAGAGGGGATGCCCCTCAATTACTAAAACATTAATAGAAACACCTGTTGCCTCAAAACATTATCTGGTGTGCCCAAATGAGAGAAATGCATGTTTTTGATGCACAGAGCTCCACCTGAGCCTCATCCAGATGCCACCAACATGCCATACAAGACCACTGACCCAAAGAAGCAACCCTCCCTACTCAGAAGTGGGTTTGAAAGTGTCCGGCAGTATACCGTAGGTGTGGGATTACTTCGTACAGAGGTGTTAATTTTTTTGACTTCGTAGCGCTTCGTACCACTTCGTACCACTTCGCATTTCAGCAGCATATTTTCGAGTGGTGCAAAGCCATTTCGTACCTCTAGTGCAGAGCAGCTGGGAGGATGCCGAAAGGCCGCTGGAACGTCAACTTCCGCCCAGGTATCCTGATGCTGTTGTCTTGGCTAGCCAAACATCAGGCCAGACAGAGATTGGGCTGGTCAACCATGGTGCAGCTGTCCTGTTTGTGACTCACATTTCATCAGACGTATTCCCTCATCACCGGCATGGGCTTGATGGCATGGGCTTGCTCTTGTCCACTCCAATGGTTGCATGGCTCATGCTGGAGGCTGGGCCAAAAGTGGACATAAGTTGACCAGCTCATGCTGCCCGTCTTGTGCTGCTTCTTCCACAATCCTACCACTCTCAGAAATTTTATTTAAAATTTGTATTTAGTATTCACTCCGTATTTGAGAGACAGGAACTATTTGTTCCACTTCGTAACATTTTGTTTTTTGGCCAAATAATTAAGTAATTTACGAGTAATCCCACACCTACGGTATCACCCAAATTTGGCATAGGTTGTGGCGCCTGACTATCAGTCTCCCTTTCCTGAAGCAGGAGGCCCCCCCAAAAAAAGTAGTGGACGTCATGTCAACATTCTCGGCGGGAGGCCCAAAAGGACCACCCACCCCCCCTCCCCCCCAAATACTGCCCCCCTCCCCACGATAAGGGTACCAATCTGCTCCTTTTTTAAATAGCTATCAATTTGCATTATCATCACAATGAAACATTGAGTTGGAGCAGAGTTAATGGGCAAAAACTGGTGAACGGACGCCCATGCAAACCTGCCCTTCCAGGCACCCACAATTGGCTTGCAAGTCCATAAACTGCCCTTCTGACTTCACCATGCAAGGATGTATTATACATTGCCACTGTCATGGAAGTTTGAATTTGTTTGCTGCATGTACGCCTTCACACCCCCAGCAACCTATGCCCATGCGCATGTGGCACTGACTCTGATCCATACACAGAGACTCCTGCTTTTACCCAATTTCCTTCAAGAGGGTGCCAGTCAACAGTTCTGAAGCTCAGGATTCCGAATATGTAGCTTTTCTTTAGATTGACACATGACGTCCAAAAGTTATGCAAACTGGTGCCGTCGATACGTCCTTGGCACGCACAAAAAAATTGCCATAGGAGTTTGGTGTAACTTTCCTGAAAATGACGAGGACGGGATTCGAACCCGCGCCCCAAAGGACTGGCGTTTTCAGGTAGTCCTAAAGCCAGCGTGTTAGACCGCTCCACCACCTCGTCAACCGGTTGCATAAATAACTATTCTATAAGATTATATAATTAGATGCTAGACAGGAGGGTGGTAAAAATATTTCCAAAGACGGCATGTGTAAATTCTGGGTCGGAACCCCCCCCCCCCCCCCCCCCCAAAACCCCAAAACCCCCCCTTCCAGTGCCCCAATCCGGACAACAAGGTGCCAATCTGCTCCTCTTTCACATAGCTATCAACCTGCAGACTCAGCGTAATCAAATGTTGAGTCCCAGCAGAGTTATCGGGCAAAACTGAGGAGCGGCCCATGCATACCTGCCCAACCAGGTACCCAGAACTGGCATGTGAGTCCACAAATTGCCCTCCTGATTTCAGCAAGCATATATTGTCACTATCCTGGGAGTTTGGATTGATATGCTGTATGTTTGCCTCCACACCCCTTGCTGCTCAGACCCTCGCGCGCTTGGCACTGACTCCCAGCCATGCACACAGACCCACCCTTTTACTCAATTTGCACAAAAAGGGTGCCAATCGACAGCTCTTGAACCCTGGAATCCAACGATATATTTAAATTCCTGTAGAAGTGGCTCAGAAAAATTCTACAGGGGGGTCCCAAAATGTCTAGACCCTTCCGACCCCCCCGCGCGACCCTCTCTGATCGGACCCATATATATACCAATAGATAGTTCTCGAGCTCAGGATTCCGATTATACAGTTTTTACTCGGATTGACAGTCGCCGTCCAAAAGTTACACGAACTCTACCCTTCTATGCTAGACAACAATTAAACACTGCCGGAGGACGCTCATGAAGGCCCCATCGATGTGGGCAATCGGACTGATCACGGTAGTGAATCTGGTCAGGCCCTCAAATTAACAGTCCGCCTCACCCTCGAAGAGGTGGACCTCTAGCGGAGTGTAGGTTAGTGTTGCTGAGGTGGCCTGTTACGGGCGGCTTCGGAGTGGTGTTTATCTTAGGGGGGAGGGGTTAGGAGCTGGTCTGTGGCTGGAGTAGGGGGTGGGGGGGTATAAGGTTAGCCGTGAGTAGTAGTAGAGAGAGTAGCCGCCCGTAAGTAAGGATCTTTGGCCGTGTTAGCCTCTCCTTGCTTCCTTCTGCGCTTGCCTCTATCAGTTCTGCAGCCGCCTTGCTTCTGTTTCCTTGCTAGTCAGCCTTCGTTCGCCTGCCCGGCTGCTCTCTGCTTGCTTAATTTCAGCTCCCCGCTGTCTCAACTCTGTGTGGGCCTCAACTCTGTGTGGGTCTCTTCTGTCTTTGTTGTCCTCTCTTGCTTCCAGTGGCCTAGACGATGTTCTGGGCTTGTGTCCTTCTTGGTCTGAACGGTTTTCCTTCTGCCACTTGCTTTGGGTGGAGCTTAGGGTATTGTTTCCTGCTTGAGTTAAGTTTTCTTCCTGCAACTGCTCTCCCGCATGCCTTTGGCAGCTTGGCCTTGCCTTGTCCTTTTTCCTTGGGTTCTTATTAGGGCTGGTCCTTTTCTTGAGTTGTGTTTCAGCGGCTCTTGTTCTCGCTCTTTTTTGCGGCTCTCCTTTTGCTGTCAAGTCCTTGCTGGGGGCCGCTTATGTAATAGCAAAAAAAAGACACATTCCTGAATGAAACCACTCCTGGGTATGAGGGATTGCTTGTTTGCAGGGATGTTTAACACGTAAAAAACGTATGTACGCACATGGCTCAAATTGGCAAAACTCAGATGGCTGTTTTGCAGACGTGAGAAATACGCGGGTGGGCCAACGGCCTGCGGGCCCGCCCGGACAACTCAGAACCCAAGCAGCAAAATCCTAAAATTAAGAATTTTGCTGCTTCCTTACAATTTTAAGACATCAATTAAAATGTTCACTGGAACTCGGCTTCAACTCAGCCTTCACTGGTCTGTTTGAAAGCTCTACTCTACAGCCTCTTCTTCTTCACTCCAGTCCCCCCCACTGCTGGACCCCTCTTCGTGTTGCTGCTGCTCCTGTTCCTCTTGCGGCACAGGCACCCAGGGCTAAGCCTCCCCTCCCTGCTCCAGCTGCTGCATGCGCTTGAGCAAGCGCAAGTTGCAGTAGAGCCACACCAAGTCAGTGGCGCAGCTTGCATCTAGCTTCTTCCCTTTCCCTTCTTCAGGAGTGAACTCTGTGACTTAGTCTCGTTCAGGACCTCTCGCTGTGGGCATGTTTAATGTGTGATGAGGGGAGGGGGGAGGGAGCTTGCATGGGAGGTGGTTGGGGGGTGGTTGGACCCCCCCCCCTGAGGGTCCTTCCTGCCAAACCCCTCCCTCCCAAAAATGGCACATAAGATACGCGTTCGTACGCGTCGTATGCGTATTTTACGCGTATGTACGCGTACGGCACCTCCCCAACTCGCGTATTAAACATCCTTTCTTGTTTGAGGCCTTTGGCTTGCACAGACTTTTCTTTTTCTTTTCTTTCTTGAGGCAAAGGGCTCTTGCATGTTGGGGACATGTGGGAGACACGTGGATGTGGCTCAGGTGGAACTCTGTGCAAAAATTGGGATTTATTTCCTTTGGGCATACCATGAATGTTTTGAGTTTGTAGACGTTTCTCTCAATTTTTTTTTCAATTATGAAGCAAAAGGCGTGCCCGATGCCATCGGCAATGGCTGCTTTTTTCAGTCACCTCTGGCTAATGGCCATTTTTGAGGGGGACCCCGTTAAAGGCCAAACTGCAGCAGCGAGTGTTTGGGAAGCCTATTGCAAGTGATTTTGGGTTGTCGGGAGGGCCCCTGATGCTGGTCGGATTTTGCCCCACAGACAGGCATGCAATCGCAGGGAGGGTCCGGCCAAGTCCGGCCAGGCCCCGAGAGCCCACCTCTGTCCATCCTGGCCGATGCCTGGGGCTGTCGGCATCAACTTTGACGCTGTGGGTTGTCATGCCGGGCTCCAAGGAGGAGCTGCTGGGCTCCGCAAAGTTGTTAAAGCTACAAGGCTCCCGAGTTTTTGCTTGTGGCACAAATGCGAGGGAATCAATTAGTTATGATGATGTTTTTAACAAGCTATGATAACTGGATTCCGGTTTTGCTGCCACCTGGAGCATCTGCAGCTGTGCACAAAAAAACTAGTTCTTTTGAAATCAGACACTCAACCCCTCACCCCTATTTCCCAAGCATTCAAAATTTCATTTGGTGTGCAGGAAGGTAAAAAAAAAAAGTAGTGGACACCATCCCCAAAAACTGGGTGGGACCCTCCTGACCTCCCCCCCCCCCCCAACCCCAACCCCCTATGCAGTAACCCAACCCGGACAAAAAGGGTGTCAATCTGTTCCCTTTAGAAATAGCTATCAATCTGCATACTTGCCATGCTGGAAAAGTGAGTTGTAGCAGAGTTATGGGACAAAAACTGAGCAGCGGACGCCCATGCATACCTGCCCTTCCAGGCACCCACAACTAGCTTGCAAGTCCACCTACTGCCCTCCTGACTTCACCATGCATTATCACATCATACATTGTCACCATCCTGGGAGTTTGAACTGATTTGCCGCATGTTCGCCTCAACACCCCCTGCCGCCCACACCCTTGAGCGCATGGCACTGACTCCCAGCCATGCACACAGACCCTCCCTTTTACTCAATTTATCCAAAGAGGGTGCCAATTGACAGTTGTTGAGCTCAAGAGTCCAATGATGTCTTCAGAATTTTATAGGAGTGGCCCAGAAAAATGTTGGGAAGGGGGTGTCCCAAAAACCTGTACCCCCCTTGACCCCCCCCCCCAATCCTCCTCAAATCAGACCCATACATATACCAATCAATAGCCCTTGATCCCAGGATTCCAAATATATAACCCTTAAGAGGATTGACTGATGAGTTCCAAAAGGTATGCTTCTTGCAGCCTCTTACGGTGTGAATAAAAAATTTTGTTTGTTTTGAATTCCCTCTTGTCCCGGCTGCATGTTAAGCACCCCCCAACACAGCGAATCCCTGCCACTCCGCTGCTGGTGGCCACCTCGGCATTGAAAGCACACCCTGAAGACCACATGCGGGCTTCGGGCTGCAGCCGGGTGGTCACGGCATGCAATATATGAGATTTACAAAAGTAGTGCTCTGACGAGGACGGGATTCGAACCCGCGCCCCGAAGGACTGGCGTATTAGGATCCTGGATATCCTTAAGCCAGCGTGTTAGACCGCTCCACCACCTCGCCATGCCATTCCGGGTATTTTCAAAATATATAAATTTACGTATACTACCGAAGCCAGGAAAGTGTCCTTCTTGGTCTGAACAGTTTTCCTTCTGCCGCTTGCTTTGGGTGGAGCTTGGGGTGTTGTTTCCTGCTTGGGTTAAGTTTCCTTCCTGCAACTGCTCTCCCACGTGCCTTTGGCAGCTTGGCCTTGCCTTGTCCTTTCTCCGTGGGTTCTCAGTAGGGCTGGTCCTTTTCTTGAGTTGTGTTTCAGCGGCTCTTGTTCCCGCTCTTTTTGCGGCTCTTCTTTTGCTGTCAAGTCCTTGCTGGGGGCCGCTTATGTAATAGCACAAAAAACAATGTCTTTGCATTTATGCAGGAGCGCGCGCCGTGCAAAGCCCTCAGCTCGCCAATTTGGAGCATGACCTGATGGAGGTCATCAACTCAATGCTGATCTCCGCTGCTGAACACGTGAAGGTCAGTTTGCAGCTGGAGAGCAACCAATTTTTCCATGTAATACCACATGAACTGTGTGGGTGTGGGTGTGGGTGTGGGTGTGGGTGTGGGTGTGGGTGTGGGTGTGGGTGTGGGTGTGGGTGTGGGTGTGGGTGTGGGTGTGGGTGTGGGTGGGGGGGTGGGTGAGTCCTTCTGGAATGCAGCAACTCCATCCTCAGGTCCCCACAGACCACATCTGTGCACGCAAAGACGCTGAGCCTTGCTTGCAGCAGCCACACACAGAGAAGTGCCCGCACACACCCCACACACAGGCAAAAGCAAGCTGTTTATTCCAAAAAAAAAATAGGAGCAGCATGCCACTCACTATCTCTTATTCGTCTTGCTCATGGAAGTGCCCACATGCACTCACTGCCAGGGGCACCTCCAGGTCCACTCATTGGCAGAGAGCGCAGCACTCAAGCAGGAAAGAAAGAAAAGAAAGAAAAAATTTATACTTGCCGTTCGGCTGTGTGCCTCAAGGACAGGACCCCCATTGATTCCCATCAAAGGGCATCAACTGCAACCCCCAGCCCCTGGAATTTGAACAGCAGACCTCCTTCTAGGTTGGTGCGTCCCATACAACATCCAAGGGTGGCTGTTACACGACAGCCAACCTGAGAAGTCAAGGCAGACCTGCAGAACAGAACATCCTACACAAGCCAAAGACCTGCAGTCTGTGTGCGAAGGCCAGGCGCACATGCATCCTTGAAGGCTCAGGCAGAGTCCAAAATAGCCAGGAGGTGAGCACGCAGTTATGCAAAGCCAAACTGTCAGTCTCAGTTACTGAGATCACTCCACCTCTGCGCGTTGTCTCTACCGTGCCAACTTCCAAGACCACTCCAGCGCCAGCTTTTCTGAGGGGCTAGCAACTATATCTATAGATAGGGGCAGCCACACTGATATGGATCCGGCGGGGCGTCAGCCATTTTTCCAAGCACGCTCCTTGCTCTCTCATGAGCAGCCCATCTTGTCGCCCTCCTCATCAGACCCCCATTGTTTGATTGCTTCATGGAAGGCACAGCAGTGCTTATTATTTTGGTCAGGGTCTTTATAGCATGGAAGTAGAGTATAGCTGCAAGGATGACGGTTTTTTTAACAGGGTAACCAAAACCACAAGGGGATTAGGATGTGAAATGGTTGGATAGTGCCAACAGCTCCTATTGCGATAGCGTGATCGGACTCTCCTTCTCCTTCTCTCCACCGCCGCGCCCCATCACCCCCCCACCCCCCCTCCCCTGAAAATGAAGAGCATGCCTGGTTTTAAGAATGGTTGACAATTTGAGGATGGCATGGGAATTAAGCTTGGATGCTAGAGGTTTAGCTTTTTGCTCGGTAACGCCCAGATTCATGAGGGTTTGATTATGTACTCGTTGCACTAGTGCCAGCCACACCAATTAGGATGATGTGCAGAGTTACTTTTTATTGCTGTGTGGAATTTGTTGAGCTGCGGAATTGAGTCTGGTTATAGTATGAGAAGGGTGAGCCACTGCAGTTTGCAAGTGATGGATGGGTTGGTGTCGGGAAAGCATACAAGTTCATCGAGGTGGATGTTCCTACTTGAGAAGGGATCTCAGAGAGATGAAGGTGGACTGGTCGGCCTGGGATAGAGCTCACAAAAAGCAGCATGCGGCTTTGGTGCCACGCAGCAGGGCCGGTACCATTAAAAGAAAAAAAACAGGAAGGAACAGCTCATGGCATATTTTCAGGGACTTGCCTTGTTCAAAATGCCTCTAGTTACTGCTGGCTAATGCCCACCATGGCATGGTGCCTGTTGGTGTGCAACCCATTTATTGTGGGGTACAAGCATCTGAGGACCATGTGATTAATGCTGTCCAAACCACAGAGCAGGTTCTTTTTCCGAGCTGGAGGACTGTTGAATACGCGGCAGCAAAAAGGTCCAATCTAACATGCAATTAACATGCACTTACACTTGCAAGCCCTGCAACCAAAGATCCCAGACTGGCAACACCTGACATTTACAAATGGCAGTGTTGAAACCTCCAAAAACAGGAATACACAGCAGGCAGGAGCATCTTTTCTCATCCCGGAGGACATCGACTCCTTCAAAACTTGTGTCTGCACATCAAATCCAAAGGGCCTTGGACCAACAAATACATGTCACAGAGCAGATCTAGCTGCAATTCTTGTAACCCTAGAGCGAGGGCACACTTCAATTGTAATTGACAGTTCCTGAGCACTGTATCAGATCTTGGAAACCAGGTCCTCAAACCCATGGGCATGTCCAACCACTTACATGCACCACTATCCAACGACATATTAACTCGTGTTAGTTCATCAGAGGCCTCCATACACTTCTACAAAATAAAATTACACACTGGCGTCCTTGGTAATGAAGGCGCTAACGCGCTTGATCTTCAACCAGCAAAGTTGCCTGATGAAGCTGACGCCTCACTCAACCAGGCAGAAAACCCTTTCTTTCTTTTCTACTGGCTTGCTGCACCAGTCACAACGCCCAGCTCTGGTACAGAACACTGGCCCCTTTCAAACCTCCAAAACAAATTAAAGCAAATAATGCATGAAAAGCACAAATCGAGGACAACAAACATTAGCACTTTAAGCTATGGAAAGTGGCAAAACCTGCTGAAAATGTCCTATACTCACCCCACAGTTAATTTGAAAAGCAGTTATGCTCTCTGGTACATGAAAGCCATGACCCTCAAAGAGCAGACCAATGTCATCAACTATTGAACAGGCACCCTGTACAATGGCAAGCATGCCAGACGCTTCAGTGGCCACCATGTGTCTCTTTGCCCTCCCTGTTGTGCACATGATAGCACCTCTCATACCCTACTCATATGTACCCACTTACACATCAACCATTCTTGTGATTATAAATCGTCACCTTCAAGCTCTCATCATTTGTGGTGAAGCAATCAGCAAAGAAGACTTCGTACTTTCCCTTCCCCCTGCTTATGCCTCTTGCTTGCTAAGCCTGGATGTGCCCAAATACTTTTCTTGGACCTCCCTACACACATTGTTTGAGTGTGGCTCGTTTCAGACTCCGTGTCCATGCTTTGAAAATTGAGCAAGCTTCGTGGGATGACACGATTTCCCCACATGTGATCTCTGCGATGCCCAAGATGATATTCAGGATGAACAACATGTTGTTCTTTTCAGGTGTACTCACCCTCATGTATGCTCATCCCTGTCGTAAGTATGCTTCTCTGTGCTATGCCCCCTACCCTCTCTTTACTGCATCCTTCTTCTCAGATGGCTCCTTACTTGCCTACCTTTCACCATGTACAGCCCATCTTATGCGCTCCCTCTTGAATTAAAACAACAACAAGCTTTATAATTTTCTCCATGAACTTCTCCTTTTTAACATGCTAGCAATCATCCGTTTTGACTGGAGGCCTTTCTTCTTCCTGCAATCCTGTAATCGTTGCTAGGCCTGGCCTTAGTATTCCTCATACATTGTATGTTGCATTGTGACTCCGTTGGTGAAAGTACACCTCCTACAAACTTCAACCTTTCTGTACTGCGTTTATTACACTATAGCCTAGCAGTCACTCTCTTTGACTGATGGCTTCTTTCAGTTAACCTGCGAATCTGTAAACAAAAGTAAAGAATACCATCTTCATTTGCACACACGCACCCAAGTAGTATCACTCCTCCAAGGACCTGAGTCCGGAAATATGCATTCTTTTTCACCCGCTCTCTCTGGGTTGCAGGTTGTGTCTACGTTTTTGTAGCAAAAAAAAAAGAAAAAGAATTACGCAGGCAGTGCAGACTCTCCCCAAAACAAATAAGGAAAAGAGGATAAATAGGGCCGAGGCACCTTGTAACCCCTTCACCTAGAAAATAAAAAAGAAAAAAACTACATAGGCAGAGGAACTCTCCCTACATCAATTAAGGAAAAGGAGACACATTGGCTCATGAAGAGCCATGAGTCCCCTTCGCCACAAGATTTGAGTTAAGGTAGGCTAATGGGGATCTGGAGGGTTACTAAAAGCAACTGGCTCGCTAGGTAGTTCAATACCTCTTGCACACTTCATGAACCAAGCTGATGTCTCAGCATTAGTCAACTTTGTGTCTGCTTCAAGCAGAAGCAAGTCGCCTGAAATGCCGGTCCATTATGCTTTCCTACATTCAATTTCATCTTCCACCTGCTGTGTTGCCCTACTTACCATAGATGTCTTATGCAACAAAAAGTAGAAAAGAAAAGAAAGAAAAACTACATAGGCAGAGAAAATCTCCCTACATCAATTAAGGAGAAGGAGACGCATTGGCTCAAAAAAGAGCCGTGAGTCCCCTCCACCGCAAGGTATGAAGAACATAAAGCTAATGGAGACCTGGAGGGTTACTAGAAGCACCTGGCTCTATAACCTGGCTATGGCCCACAGTGTGGAAAAACTCTTGTTTCCAATAGCGCGGCGTGTGGACTAGTTTGTGGGCATATTGAACAGAATGGTCATGTAGTTGTTGAGCAAGCTCAGTGGCACGTTGGTGATCCAGTCCCAATTGTTTGAATTGCTTCAGGGTATGCTCAGTATAAATAGTTCCACCAA